ACGAAACATGTAAGATTCCTATCCCTTTTGCCGAATTAACGGAGGGACAAGTTCTCAATCAACAAGTAGCGTCCAAGTAACTGTATATAGAAGTAATCAACAACTGAAGAAAAGTATGTACATGAGTGTTCAGTATATATACGTTCTGAAGGTCAGCCATGGGGCGCTGACTGATGTTCTACGTCATAGTCTGGATTCTGTCACGTGTTTGTCACGTGACTAGATATAACTAAGTATTTGTGTTATCCGCGCTAATAGCAGCAGCTTAACAACTTATGTCTGTCATGTGATCAGATATTAAAGAAAATGAAAAAGAAATTAGCGCTCTAACTAGCGCTCTGGCTCAAGTCGTGACATTACCCCCTCCTTAGGACTTTCGTCTCGAAAGTAGGGGTCCATTTTTCCGTTTTCCCAATTGAACAATTGTTTTCGGACTCTAGTCGTTGTGAAGTTTTCGAACGGTTGGAAATGTAATTGGAATCGTATCCGTCGGGGTGCACTAGGGTTGTTATCGTGGAATGTTTTTACTTTGTCTGGTGAGTTGTTTAGGTGTTGTTCGGGTTCCCATGTGCGTTCCTCTTTTGGATAATTCTTCCAATGTACTAAATATTCCAATTTTCCCTTTTTTAGACGTGAGTCTAGAACTTCTTCGACTTCGTATTCTTCTTGTCCGTCTACTATTACCGGTGGTGTCGGTTTGGGTTTTTGTTGAGAAGGGAATTGTGGTTCCTTGTACGGTGTAAGCTTTATCTCATTAAAGACTGGATGAATAGGCCGCCATGTTGGTGGTAGTGCTAGTTTGTAGGCCGATTCACCTATCTTTTCCAGTATTTCAAACGGGCCGTGTCTCTTATCGTCCAGTTTCTTAGCCGGTTGATCTGTCGAGATATTGGTCACTTCTACGTACACCTTGTCCCCTACTTTGTATTCCACTGCTTCTCTTTTCTTTTTATTGTACTGCTTTTTCATCTGTTCGGCTGCCTTTCGCAATGACTCCTCCGCTTTCTTCCTCGTTTCTGTCATTCTTTTCACGAAATCCTCCGCTTTTTCGTTCTTTACCTCCACTCTCACTACTTCTTGTGTTCTTGGATGGTGTCCCTGATTTAGATAGAATGGGCTGTATCCTGTTGCAGAGTGTTGTTTGTTGTTATATGAAAATTCTGCTAAGGTAAGCCATTCCGCCCAATCATCTTGTTTATGGTTTATGAAGATCCTAAGATATTGCTCTATTTCTTAATTGATCCTCTCTGTTTGTCCATCCGTCTGCGGGTGCCATGCCGTCGATGGATTTGCCCTTATCTGAAGAAGCGTATGTAGATCTTTCATAAATTTAGAAACGAACTGCGGTCCCCAATCTGAGATGATCTTTTCGGGTATGCCTTGGTTTCTAAATACGTGATCTCTAAATAGTCGTGCTACTCCTTCTGATGTGATTTCCATCTGCGTGGGAATTACCTTGATCATTTTTGTAAATCGATCTACTACTACCATTATCATGTTATATCCATTTGATTCTGGTAGTGGTCCGATTAGATCTACTGATATGATCTGCCAAGGTTTATCTGGGATCTCATTTGGATGGAGCGGTGCTGCTTTCTTTTTGTGGTCTGTTTTGGTTCTTTGGCAGACTTTGCATCCATCTACGTATCTCGTGATATCTCTGTCCATGTAGGGCCACCAGTATTGTTGAGTGATTAGCTCTTTTGTCTTATACCTTCCTGGATGGCCTGCAACGGTAGAGTCATGGTTTCGTCTGATAATTTCTTCCCTTAACGCGGCGTCTTTTGGTATATAGATCCTGCCTTTGAATACTATGCAACCGTCTTCTTCGAACCACCCGTCTTCTCTCCTCTCTATCTTTCCTTTCATCTTTTTTATCAAGTCATCCACATTTCCTTTTCTTTTTGAGATCCATTTTGAAATCTCCAACTCTTTTTCCTGACTGTCTGCAATTCTTTGCCTCTGTTCTGACGAAAGAGTCATCCTTACAAACAGTTTCTCGTCTAGCAGTATGACGTCTTTGTTGTCGTTTTCTCCTTTGATGTGATCTGATCGTCTCGAGAGTAGATCTGCTTTTATATGCTTCCTTCCCGGCATATGATGTATCATGAAATGATACTGACTCAACTCCGTCATCCACTGTGCCTGTCTTCTGTTCAGCTTCTTTGGTTCTTTGAAATACAACAGATTTTGATGATCTGTCCATATCTCGAATTCTTTCTCCGCATCTATTAAGTAATGTCTCCATTTGTTAAGTGCCGTCATGATGGCGAGAAGTTCTTTGTCATAGATCTCGTAATTGCGTTCTGTGGGATTTAATGCTTTGGAGAGATATGCAATCGGCTTCCAGTCATTTTTTTGTCTTTGTGATAAGACCGCACCCATTGCGAAGTCACTACTGTCTGCTTCTACTTTGTATTGGCCATGTGGTACTGGGAGAGCTAGCACAGGGGCTGAAGCTACGCATTGTTTCAATGTGTTAAATGCTTCGCGTTGTTCATTTCCCCAAATGAAGTCCTCTTTTCCCGTTAACTTGGTCAGTGGTTTGGCTACTTCCCCGAAGCCTTCTATGAACCTCCTATAGAAATTTACAAAGCCTAAGAATGCTTGTATGTCCTTCCAAAGTCCTCTTTTCCCATTAACTTGGTCAGTGGTTTGGCTACTTACCTGAAGCCTTCTATGAACCTCCTATAGAAATTTACAAAGCCTAAGAATGCTTGTATGTCCTTCTTGTTTTTGCACTCTGGCCATTTGCTAATTCCTTCTACTTTTACCGGGTCCATGCGAATTTTGTTTTCTGAGATGATCAGTCCCAGGTATTCTACTTCTGTTTGTTCGAAATCACATTTCTCTGGTTTAAGATATAGATGGTTTTTTCTAAGGATTTCTAATACACATTGCGTCGTTGCTCTGTGCATTTCTATATCCTTTGTAAATATCATAATATCATCCAGATATATGATCACCAATCCTTCATCTATCAGTTCTTTAAAAAGCGTGTTCATCATTGTTTGGAACGTGGCGGGGGAATTTGTCAGTCCGAAGAACATGACTAATGGTTCGAATAAGCCCCGGTTTGTCCTAAATGCCGCTTTATGTTCATCCCCCTCTCATTCGGATATTGTTATATCCCCATCTTACGTCTAGTTTCGTGAAGTATTTAGCCCCACTCAACTTGTCTACTAGTTCTCCGATCAGCGGAAGTGGATATCTGTTTTTAATAGTGATATTGTTTAACTTCCTATAGTCTTGAACTGGCCTCAGCTTTCCGTCTTTCTTTTTTATGAAGAAGAAGGGTGATGCGAATGGGGACTTTGATGGTCTTATTCGTCCCGATTCTAGATTTTCTTTTAGGAATGCATCTAGTTCCTCTTGTTCTCCCCTTGCCAATGGGTAGATCTTGCAATCTAGGGAGTGATCTCCCGGTACTAGTTCGATTGCGTGATCCCATTGTCTCCTTTCAGGTAATGTGTCAAATTCCTTTTTATTAAATACGTCTTTGTATTGATGAAGGTGTCTTGGCACTATCTTTTCGAATCCTCCTTCTTTTCGATCTTTGCCCGCGGCTTCCGCTAGCTTCTGTGCCATTGTGCCTTGGGCTCTGATGTGGTAGTATTGATTGTTGATCGTGGCATCTTCGAAATGCTGGAGATTCACCTGTATCATCCTCTCGTCTTCTCCTAGTTCTTCGAAGAATATTTCCGGATCCTCCTCTGGATCAGAGATTCGGATTCTCGATTTACATTCCTCGGGACATCTCTCAAAGGTCAACTTCGACTCTTTCCAGTCTATTCTAGGATTGTGTTTGCTTAGCCATTCATGTCCTAGAAACATCTTTCCGTTACCCAGATTGGTTACGGCTAGATGTATCTTTTCGACATGACTGTCGATTTCCATGAGTAGTATTACAAACTCGTTGATGGCTCCATTCTTATTAAGAGTTCCATCTGCGTTATAGACTAGAATAGGTCTCGGTATCTTTCTTGTCTCATATTTTTTGTCTTTCACAAATTGGGAGTCGATGCAACTCCCCGTGCATCCACTGTCCAATAATGCTTCGACTGTTTCCGTTTGGAGAGTATCTAGTGTAGTAAGCTTACATTTTACGTTCATCTGATTGCCCTGGGTGCCCCTAATGTACTTTTTAGGGGAGGCAATTTCTATGATTTCTTGTATAGCTTCTATTTTTGGTAACCGGTTGATTTCTTTTATCGTTTCCCGGGTTACTTCTCTAGTTCTCTTTTTGTGTGTCCAGGCGCTTAAAATCCCAATAGATCTTTCTTCCTTTTGGTCTTTAAGCCTGTCTACTACCCACTCTGGGGTCCAAACTTCTATTCTAGGTTTTTTTAGAGGGGTTCCTGACCTCTCTTCTACAGTCTCTGCTGCGTTTTTCTCCGTAGAGTTCGCCGCATCGGGTGTAGGAATCTTAATTTCCGTCGTAAATGCTGCACTTTTCAGTGATTTGCCCGCCGTCAAAACTGCGGATGTCTCATCACTATGCGCCGCTTTTGCATCTTTTTCATTTCTTATTCCTTCCTTTTTCTGTGTGGTAATAATTTTATTGTCATCCATGCTAAAACAGCAGCTTAACAATTCAGGGTCACATGTATCTACAGTTAAAGGAAGGAATTGGTTCGAAACATCTTTTTTAGGCTCAGCCGGTCGATGCGGTACCGCTGGCCTCTTTAAAAACCCTCTAGGAGTTTTTCTCTTTCCTCTTTCGTCATCTTCTCTAGAAATTCGCGGACATTGAATTGTGGCTTCTTCTTTTGTGCGTCTTTGCACTCGAAGCTTCTATGTCCTTTATCTCCGCATCGGTAGCATCGTCCTTCTGTGCGGAACTTTGCTTTGTCCACTTCCATTCTTTCTCCGCTACCGGTATAGGTATAACCGGTCCCATCTTTCTTCTTTTCACCTTCTTTTTTTTGTTCCGAATATGTTTTCCTTCCCATTTTGGAACCTTTCTTCTCTTTCTCACGTTCTCTCCAAATATAGTCCATTCAGATGAGTTCTCTCTTCCATTCCTGGTAATCTCTAGGAATGTGTCCACCGTAGATTACTCTGTCTACTAGCAGTTTATTCATGTTTCTCCTTAATAGGGAAATTGAGAACTCTTCATTTATTCGGTTTGTGTATCCCACCATCTTTTCTTTTCTTCAAACCTTTCAAAAAAGGCTTTGGCGGTTTCATTGCCCTGCTTTAGGGTCAATATTTCATTCTTGGCAGTTTCTTTTTCAAAACTGTCCTTGAACCTTTCTTCCATCTTATCGGCAAAGTATGGCCAACTTCCGTACGTGTGTGTGATGTCGAGCCCTAACTGTTGAGCATCGACCCTATTCTCTAGCCAATCGGTCCGGAAGGCTGCGGCTTCTCCTTCTTTCATGAAAGACAGCACAAAGCTTATCTTTTTTCTGTCATCATTAAAATAGACGGTGTTGATGATGAGAACTGTTGTTAGAAAACCACACACAAAAACAAACTAACACACAATCCTCCCAGATTCCACGGAACTTGTTTATGGGCTTTGCCTCCTAGAACAGTGGAGTGGTCTGGTTGTTTGTGGGGTGGTATGTATAAAGATCCTTCAAAGTAAAACCCAGAGGTGTATGAGTGTGGGTTTTGAGGAGGAGGGATAGTTGAATTTATAGAAAGATAGGTGCTTTCTGGCGAGTATAGACAAGCACTACCTTGCTAATCGTAGCACAAGGTAGGTTTGAGAACAACGAGGATGATGAGGTGACGAGGTTCCCAGTGATAGCAGGCTCCTGACGCACAAACTGTAGTGCTCAGAAGGACTCTAATCGAAGGGGATGACAATCACTTTCAAAAAGTGACGAGTGACGATGACAGCAGTTAACAGTGGTAGAAGTGGGAAGTGTTGTGACCACACTGGATCACAAGTAGCAGAGTAGTGAACTTGAGAGTAGAGAAGAAGTCTGGATTGGAGTTCTTGTTCTTTTTCAAGGTAAAATACAGGGGTTTATATAGTGAAAGAAAAGTAGGCTATGCACAGTATAGCTGTGCAAAAAGAATGAGAAAGAACATGAAGGAAGGAATGTATGCTGACGAATCCTGCGTAGGTAGTACAGGATAAGATTGTCAAAAAAGGAAAAGAAAGAGATAGAACAATGAATGCTGTGAGTAATGTCACAGGTTTGTACAGCCATAAAGTAAAGTCCAATAGCAAAAAGAGAGCAGGAAAATCATGATGTCATGGGAAGATGCAGTAAAAAAAAGGGCAAGGCAAAACACTATCAGTATCAACACAGTTCCTTTATTGTCAGTCAGGCATTCTAAAAAATATGTGTCCATAAAAATGATTCCAAAATCAAAAAATAATCGCACTGTAAATGAATGTTCTGCTGAAGAAAAAGAAACTGGAGCCACCGGTCCACCACCTAGTCCAAATCCGACAGTTCCATGGGCCTTACCAATGGACTGGTTGTGTTGGACCACCTGATCAAACGAGGGAGGGAGAGGAGTAGTTCCAATTTGGAACAAGTGAGTCCCAGGCAGCATGTGGTAGGTGTAGCTGTAGCGAAGACGATGGACAAAAGATAAGTGTACCCAAGTGAATGGGACAGCAATGAACATGGGCGATGCAAGGGGATGAACCTTCTCCAGCTCAAAAACTACCCACCCACGCTCCAACCAGGCAAGACGAGCAACCAATGTTTTGATAGTATATGATGGCAGATCGACATCATGAAGATGAACCTACCTGTTGCCCTATTTGGACCGGCCGCCGGGGCTTTGCTGATATCAGCAGTGGCACGTGGTAGTCAACGGATTGGCGACGGAAGCGGATAGGAAGTGGTGACATTAGAAATGGTGGGGGTGCAAATAAGATGAGGAGGAGGAGGGTGGAGGTGATGAAAAAGTGGATTAGAATGGGGATCCAGAAACAACCGTCAGGTGAGAATAAAAAGGAGAGGAAGGGGCCCATGGTGGGGCTAAGCAAAGGAAGGGGAGTAAGGGAAACGACAAAAGCGAGGGCGCAATGCAATGTGTAGCCAGTGGCAACGCAAAAATTTGCCGAAATGCCGAAACGCAGAAAGTACCGGATGGAAAAGCAAAGGTGAGCGTGACTGGATTGCCTAATAGAGGTGGTGCTGATCAGCCACAACTTCAAAAAGGGCAATATTAATTACTATTCCACGTGGCACTGTGCCTGTGTGGCGCAAAGGCGAGTCTTTTTGAATATTCGCTTCGTTATTGACACCTGTCCATGCTACCAATCAACTTTGGTGCATAACAACGGCATCGTCTTCGAAGTGCAGAAGTAAGGACTCCCTGAAAGCCCTGTACTTCTTCTTATCTCCGGAGAAATTTTCTGGTTTCTCCAATGCCGTCCTACTTCTTTCCACCTTTTCTGGAGGTGGCGATACTTTCTTTTTGAGTCTTTTTTCTAAGACGCTCACTTCTTCGAGCGCCTCGTCGAGCTGGGATTGGTATAGAAGCCTTGTTTCTCTGATCGCTTTTTCTACTTCTTGTTTTACGTATGCTTCTAATGATACTTCTTTCGGCGGGGGAGTGTCTATTCTGGGTAATGAATCCATCATTTCCCTGGTAAATGCACTGTCCGTGCTGTTGGATGGCTCTGGCTGATCTCGATATTCTAGGTTGGACATTGAATTCGAGTTGGGGAGGTGGGGGAGTTTCGGATTTGATTATGGGAGAGGGGATTCTGATTGATGTGATTTCTGGTAGAGGAAATTGTCCTCTAAAAACGTAATCTCTGGAATAGACACGTTGTTCTCCTATCCAGATATACAATTTTCTATTAAGCATAGAAAGGAGTTCCCCAGTGATAAGCTGGATCGATACACCGCTTTCTAAGATCTTTAATAGTCTATCTTTTCCTCTTTATTCAAGGTGATCCTCTTCAGTTCACCACTGACTATGTAGGTACTGTAGCTATTTTTGTATTTTATGAATTTTATGTAAAAATTATAGTAATAAGACTGGGTCCGAACGGTTGTCCAGTTGTAACCGGCTTATTAGGCTCTCGGTTCTTCTCCCGACTGGCGGACGCAAATGCGCGGCCTGGTCAGAGGAAAGTGAAGTAGAAACTAGGTAAAAACGGGAAAATCCCTCTGGTTCCACACCAAAGGAATTATATTGATATATTTTGTAGCTAAAGGGGGATGGTGATGAAGGAGTTTTGTGAGGAGGAGGGTGATATATTGGCTGGGAAGAAGGAGATAATGGTGTCGGGGCGAGCGGGAATGTGATTGAGTGGAAGGATAGGTTGGGTGTGAGTTTTGTAAAAGATTTTGAATAGGGTGAGGGTGATGATGATGATGATGATGATGATGATGGTTATGATAGTTGATGTTACGTTCATGAACAGTACTCGTTACGAGTTGTTGATTTTGTAAGATTCCTATCCCTTTTGCCGAATTAACGGAGGGACAAGTTCTCAATCAACAAGTAGCGTCCAAGTAACTGTATATAGAAGTAATCAACAACTGAAGAAAAGTATGTACATGAGTGTTCAGTATATATACGTTCTGAAGGTCAGCCATGAGGCGCTGACTGATGTTCTACATCATAGTCTGGATTCTGTCACGTGTTTGTCACGTGACTAGATATAACTAAGTATTTGTGTTATCCGCGCTAATAGCAGCAGCTTAACAACTTATGTCTGTCATGTGATCAGATATTAAAGAAAATGAAAAAGAAATTAGTGCTCTAACTAGCGCTCTGGCTCAAGTCGTGACAAAACAGGTCTCTTCCCTTAGTAAGTCTTATCAAACTTCTTATTTTGATTTCTGATGTTCATGTCATGCTTCTTTCTTCAGTGCACCTCTTGATTATGGACTGGCATCAAAACAAATGAGTGGCAAAAAGAAGGAAAAGTCCCGCATCTCAATTGGCTTTGCATGCAATGCAAATAAGAGTGAGAAACTTGAACCTTTCTTTATTGGCAAGACAAAGAAGCCACAATGCTTTAACAAACAAAGCCCAGAGCAGCAGGGATTTTATTATTGGAACAACAAGAAGGCATGGATGACAACAGCAATTTTTGAAGAGTAAGGATTCCCTTATCTAATTATGATTGGTGCTCACAAATGTGTAGGTGGGTTAAAAGGGTTGACCTCTTGATAAAACAACAAAAACGCCACATCTGCCTTTTTGTTGACAATTTTTCAGCTTACATGATCTCTTATCAGCCATCAAATAATGACCTTAAACTTTTTGTGCCAAATCTGACTCCATTTGTACAGCCCTGCGATGCAGGAATCATCCATTGTGTCAAGGCCCACTATCACCACCATTTTTCATGCCATTGATATGGATGATGCGTGTGAGGCAACATCTATGATATCAACCTCCTTGAAGCTATTACCATAGTGAAGCAAACTTGGAACAATATTTCATCAGAAACCATCAAACATTGTTGGGATCACACTGGAATTCAGCCAGGATTGGGGTATGTCCTTTGATTTTCTTTTTAACATCCTTGCCTTAAATTACCAGTGCAGACCTCAAATTTCATGCACAAAGCTATCAAATCCTCTATCACATGCAAATTAGGCAGCATGGCAAATTGTTCGGGATTTTTCAACAACAGAAATGACCTTACCTGACACTGAACAGTGTTTGTGCACACGCCTTGGCACCAAATTTGTAGCTTGTGATTGGAACCCAGCTCTCAAAGCTGTGGTGGATGCTGAGGGAGACATCAAAAAGGCACTTGAAGCCATCAACTCACTTTGTCATGCTGCATCACACCGCACAGGACTCAAAATTTGCATTCCTGCATTCACGAAACCACTAGCACAGAAAGTGCCTGTCAGGCAATAAATACAAAGCTATATAACAACGACAAATGTCTGGCCAAGTCCTTGTAGAAGGCGGTGGATCAGAGTATTGATGTTGAAGAATATCAGTATACACAAATCCAAACTAATATTGAATAAGGAATAATACATTGAATATCTGTCACAACCAGAGTTTTTATGCTTTCACACACAGAAAGAACAAGCAGAGAGGAGTGAGTGAGAGGGTGAATAAACTCCCTTAGGTTTAGGACCGAGGTAGTTGTGGGTAAACAACAGGAGGACTCGCTAAAGAGTCTCCTTGATCTATTATGGTATTTATACTACTACATACTATTTGTACATATGTACTATACAGTTAATGAAGGCAGTGACTGATGATGCCATAGGGCACAGCCCGTGTGACCAGCCCCACTGTGTGAGAGACTTGTAGCTAAGAACAACAAAAAGGCAGTGCAGTGCGAGAAAGAGGAGTTTGAACAAAATGGAAAGTGCTGCATGGCACAGTGTGTGAAAACTATGAAAGAAAGTTAAAGTGGAGAATGAAATTTAAAGGTCCAGAAATTGTGTATTATAAAAATATGAGATAAAAGCAATAGAGTACTGGCTATAACTTCTAATCTAATGGTGAGAGGAGTGACGGGGAATGGGTTGGACAACCATGGCATGGTGGGAATGCAATAGAAAAATTGGTTCCTTACAGTGCCCTTATGGCTTCAGTCAATGATTTGAAGGCATAAAATTGTATTTTTGGCAAACTCTTGACTGCCGACAAAATCCTTGACCCAATTGAAGAGCAGAAAGTGGATGGGGCAATGATCACATTGGAAGGGGGTGATAAGGCAATTGCAGATGTGGTACGGCAGGAGATGGCTGTGGCAAGTGGTGAGGTTGTTGAGGTGGAATCAGATGACAACAATGTAGACGAAGCTGAGCCATCATTTTCTCGCATTGAGCTTATCACTGTTACAATACACAATTTTTGGACCTTCAACTTTCATTCTCCTCTTTAACCTTCTTTCTCATTCCTCACACACTTGTGCCATGCTGCACTTTCCTTTGTTCAGACTTCACTTTCTCACATGCACTGCTTCTTCTTATTTTTAGATACAACTCTCCCACACAGTGGAGTTGGTCACAAGGGCTGCACCCTATGACATTATCAGCCACCACCCTTAACAACTGTATACTACAACATGTACAAACACTCTGTAACAGTATATATACTCTATTAGATCAAGGAAACTCCTCAGTGAGTCCTCCTGTTGTTAATTCACAACTAACTCAGTCTTACTCAAAGGGATTTACCCACTCCTATCTCCTTCACTCTTTGCTTGTCTGAAGTTGTGTGCCAGGGTATCAAAACTTTGGTTGTTACAATCACACTATGTCAGCAGCTTGAGGTTGGGTGCATGCAATATGGCAACCCTCAGTTATCACTTGGACTTTCCTTACTCTTTTACAACGAGAAGAACTACTCAATGTTCAACAAAACCCTTAGAACAGTATTTTACCTGTAATTACAGTGTTTTTGGAAAAGCTTGTCTGCGCTGTTTTTTTTGTCATGCCCTAGAAATATCATATAATCAGCTCAATTACCAAAAAAAGACGGGCAATAGGAATCCCAGATTCCATGAAGGAGATAACAATAACCCGTGCTCTGCTGCCTGGAAAACACCTGTGTTACAGGTCTGACACAATGCCATTGTTGAGGATATGTGGTCGACTGCGGAGAAGGTTGGGAGGAGGTCAGACAGAGCTGAACTGAGCTTGGTTTCTTTGCTGATAGCATGATACAGTAAGCACAAAGATTGTGATTGATGGAATCCGGGATTCCTGTTGCCCATCCTTTTGTGGTAATTGAGCTGATTATATAGTATATTTAAGGTGCAACGAAAAAAAACAGTGCAGACAAGCTTTTCCGAAAACGCTGTAAACATGATCCATCACATATATTGCTATGTCACATTTTTGGCGGAGGTCACACTATTGTGACATATGTCATCTTGCCTCATACACTGTGGGGATCAACTTATATGAGCTCAGCTCATATGCTGAAGATATTGGATATCTGCATTCTGATTGGCTGAAAAAAGCTAAAATTGAATATTTTCAGCATATAAGCTGGGCTTATATAAGTCGATCCCCACAGTGATAATGCATCAAGTTTTTGAGGTCCCGGCACTATGCATTGCATTATGAGCATATCAACTGTATTAGGTTATTAGCAGTTAACCCGCGATTTCTTGAAATTGCGACTAACGTCCTGAAGGCATAGTGTGATGCTACTACTGTATTATTGCTTCCCAGACTTGACCCGGACTGCCTTTTTGATTGTAATACGTAATGAATGCGTCGGCACACACTATTGTTTCCCAAGTATTCAAACCCATTCTTGAGGAGCTGAAGGTCTTGAAATATGCCACGACAGTGACGACGAGCGCAGTTCCATCATGATGAGGATCAAGTCGAGTCAGCTTGGATTACAGTTGATGTCGGACTATAATGTAAGCAAAAAACTAATCCGGCATCGAATATTGATATTTATTGACATCTGGAGCATCTTTTTGATCTGGCGATATCACCTGGCTAGCCCAAGATGCGTTATATATATGGACCAGCAGTCTAGAAGTGGGAAGATTACAGTTATCTGACTACAATGAACATCCACGACCACTTATACCTGCCCATACCAGACCATCCAAAGACTCAATGTCTTGATAGCAAAACATTCGTGACGCCAGTCTTGAATGGATCGCTTACTATTCCTGAGATATACGACGAACATCTTCGCAATTCCTCTGAACATCCTCTATTCATCTATCCACGATCTGCAGATGGCACCCTCAGAACTATACTTTGGCCAGAGGCCGTCTATGCTATACGTCGAGCCGGATTGTTGACATTGTCGCGTATCAAGGCGTCTCAGGACAGCGTCCCGCCATCGTATAATCCGACAGTTGCCATTTTAGCATCATCTGGTACGCACTTTCAATATCATGTACCCATTTACAACTTTCTTTACACTTATCGCAACACAGATCACATATCGTTCTTTGCTGTTATTATGGGAATGATATATGTTGGATGTCCAGTGTTCCCGATCTCACCCCGCAACTCTTCGCAAGCAGTCGCCCATCTCTTACGAACTTCTGGTGCAACCCATTTATATGTAGGGGTTGAACAGATATTTCAGGACACAGCCGCCGCCGCCATGGAACTGTTGCGTGAAAGTGAAAGCGTCGAGCCTCAAATTCATCCCATGCCGATATTTGAGGAACTGTTCAACGATGAAAACCAAGCAGAAGTTCTTTCGCTTAGGGCTTCTAAATCACCCTTGGAAGCTCCGGCACTCATACTGCACTCTTCTGGTAAGTTGGAAAACTACGTTGGTTGTAGTTTCAGGTGATCATGTGCATATAAGGTTCCACTGCTTTCCCGAAGCTTATTGTTTGGACCCATTACCACCTAATACATTTGGCTAACATTCCTCGTACGTCTTCAGTGGCTGTATGCGCGATGGCGTGAGCCTAATGCTGATTGTAGATTATGGCGAGCGAGACCTCACTGGTATACGGAACGCCGCTCCCAGCATGCCCATGTTCCATGCAATGGGTGCATACCAAGTTGTTTGGACAGTAAGACTCGCTATCACTCTTATCTCGTCGTTATCGGCTGACATGCTGTTCTAAGGCTGCAACGGGTATGATATTGAGCGTGTTCGAGCCGAAGTCCCCGGCAACTGTTCCAACGGCGGACAATGCATTCAAACATGCCATCGATACTAATAGTGACATCATCTTTTGTGTTCCAAGTTTCGTCGAGGTAGGTTTAGTCACAGCCAATCTCGTTACAAAAAGCGTTAAACTGATCTCACTGTATCTTTTAGGCATGGTATGAGAATCCAGACTATGTTCGTCAGCTTCCCAAACTAAAAGGGATCGTGAGTTTAGCGCTTAATACACAAGTTTCCATCTTGAATTAACTTGTGGGTGGTGTAGTTCTTCGGCGGTGCTCCTATGAACCAAGAAATTGGTGATGCGTTGAGCAAAATCGGTGCGCCCCTATTCAGTCTTTATGGAAGGTATGTGTATGATTGTTACATGAAAATTACATCAATGGTAACTTGTCCTGTATAGTTCAGAGATCAGTATCATTGGTGTATTCCTGCCAAGTAGGTTCTTGTTTGAAAAATAGCTATCGCCGCCGATTCTGACTTTTCCAATCAGAAACACGTTGCCCCGATTGGCAGTATTTCCGTTTATCCAATATAGTCAAACCCGAGTTCATTCCCAGTGGTGAAGGGACATCAGAGCTTATCATACATGTCAGAAACCTTTACCACAATCTATATTCCAAACGATTCTGACCCATCTTTCCCGATTGTAGCCTCATCCTACCCATGTTCCCACTGTCTTCAATATCAAAAGAGGAGAAGCCGATGCATATTACACGAGCGACCTTCTCACACCACATCCGACGTTACCCGGTTATTGGAAAGTCTATGGCAGAGCAGATGATCAAATCATGCATAGCACCGCTGAGAAAGTGGGCCTTTTTACTTCTATACATACGCTTTACTCCATTGTACTAATGGGAATCGGCTACTCAGACCAACCCCGGGCCTCTAGGTACGTTTTGTTAATAATGCGTAGGCGGTAATACTCGTGCTTACCCACCATTCCCGGATCTCTTCTAGAAAAAATACTCGTTAAGGATCTCCATGTACGGCATGCAATTATGTTCGGTCGAGGAAGGTTCCATGCAGGACTCCTTATCGAACCTCGGGATGAGCATAAATTCGATATTTCCGATACAGAGAAATTAGCAGATTTTAGGAATAAGATATGGTACGCCCACATTTCCTTTCCATGGTGGATGGACTCGTGACCTCTGCCTAGGCCTACAGTGGAGATTATGAATGACTTTGCACCAAAGCATTCCAGAATCTTCAAAGAGGTTAGTGCGATTGCCAGCAATTATGCTTCGTCACTCACTCACTTTATATAGATGATAATCGTCGCATCTCCATCGAAACCCTTCGTGTACACTGCCAAGCATACTTTACGCCGCGCATTCATCATTGATGAGTACGAACCTGAAATAGAAGCACTGTACGAAGCAGTAGCCGAAAGTACGCGGGCTGATATTCCACCTCCTTCGGCTGGGGACTTGTCAAGTATACTAGACTTTGTTAGGACGATCATCACGAAAACACTGGGAAAGCTTGTGGACGACGATGTAAATATTTTTGAACATGGTGCTGATAGGTGAGCCTCGCCATTGCACGGTGAAATCCTTACTCAAGTGTGATTTCATAGTCTTCAGGCAACATGGATACGGAACACTATCTTCCACGCATTGCGAACATCCGCCCAGGTGGACACGAGAAACTTCTCTAGTAACCTCGTTTACCAGTATCCTTCCATTAGAGCCCTTGCATCGTTCATGCATGATCAACTCTCTTCTACGCCGAGCGCTAGCAATGACAAGACGGACGCGAAATGTCAGGACATGCTCCAGATGGCCGAGAAATACAGCCAGGCGTTCTCTAGGCACGTTCCCTCTATTGAACTGCCTGAGACAGAGGCCGTGCTGGTCACGGGCACTACCGGGGGAGTTGGCGCATACCTTTTAGGAGAGCTATTGAATTCAGCTAAGATTGCTAGAGTATATGCAATAAACAGAAAACACAGCAGCGGAAATCCTCTATTAGATAGGCAAAAACTTGTGCTGGGTCAAGTTGGCCTTGATCCTGCACTTGCGTCCCACCCCAAGCTTGTATTGTTGGAAGCAGATGTCAGCGAGCCCGAATTCGGGCTTGGTACGGAGAAAGTCGACGAGGTGCGTCAAGTACTGCAATTGCAATCCATTACTGATGAAATTACTCTTCAGATGAGAACATCCGTCACACACATTATACACAATGGTGCGATCGTTTTGCTTTTCTGCAGAAACTACATTATCAATATTAACTAACAATATAAAACAGCTTGGCCTGTGGATTTCAACCTCACTCTGAACACCTTTGATCCCCAGGTGAAAGGTGTGCGCAACTTGATCGACTTCGCCCTTTCAAGCCCCCTTCCAACTCCCCCTCGTTTGGCATATATCAGTTCAGGAGGAATATTACAAGGTGCGTGTTACTGACACTACGCTCTCGTTCAATGCTTGAGAACATGGCTTAGGTTTGGAAACTGGCGAAGCCAAGGAACTACCAGTTGACTGCACCTCTGCAGTAGGCTCGGGGTATAGCGAATCGAAATGGGTTTCAGAGAAAGTCTTAACGAACGCAGCAGCAGAAACGTCTCTACGGCCCATCATTATTCGATTGGGCCAAATCAGTGGAGGCGTAAACGGTTTCTGGAAAGAGAAAGAGTGGCTTCCGTCCATGATACGATCAAGCATCTACTTGAAGTGTCTTCCCGTATTGGATCAGGTCAGTGATAATTTGAAAATCAATGATGAATATCTGTTCACTTGAACTAGTCTGTGGCTTGGCTGCCAATGGACACTGCCGCAAAAGCTGTTGTCGAGATGCGCGATTCCAACACTACATTTGTGCACGTTGCCCATCCGAAGGAAACACCCTGGTCAACTATCTTCGCGCAATTCTCCACTAGTCTTGATCTTCCACTAGTGCCATATAAAAAATGGCTCGAGTGTTCAGAAGACGCTTCACTTCGCTCTGGAGGTGCTGATGCACGGGAGAATCCGGCATCTGTTATCCTTGACTTCTTCCGTGCAGGTGCCATGGGGTTGCGTCGAATGTCTATGGAAGAAGCAAAGAAAGCGTCTCCGACGTTGGGTGACACCACAATAAGGCCACTTGGCGCTTCAGATGTCGATTTGTGGTTGAGTTACTGGCGCAAGAGTGGATTTATTTCAAATCAGGTGTAGCTGTTTGCCATCTGGAAATGTTTAACTATCTGTGTTGTTTACCATAGATGGAGCACAGAGCGAGCAGTCTGGAGCATCCTATCAATGATGTATGATGTACGCTTTCAATAAATGATGGATATCAATAGATGTCTAGGTATCGCACGTTGGCGGTAACTAAAAACCAAGGTCAGAGGTTGGTCGCCTTCCCAGTCATGGTATATAGCTGGGAATGGTACGCCAAAAAGAGTTATATTCGACCTGAACCTTTCTCCCAACATGATAGTGTTATCATGCTATCTTTATACAGCGACGATGGTATCTCTGTCCGCGGTCGGCGAGTCATATAAGGTCTTTTTCCGAACTGTTTCTATGCTATCGCAGCATCTAATCTAAATTCTGTCGTTGGGGTTTATAAACTGGGATGATGATCATGATGTGTTCACACTTCTATTTGTTCTGCTCAGATAAATAGTACTCATATACGTCAAGTGGAGGCCGAAAAGGCGGTGGCCAACACTTCTCCGAGGCAGTGTATCATCGAAATATCATCCCTTCCCCGCGAAGTATCACCGTGGCATATGCGAAGGGATACAGATAAATAGGAGATCTGGACTCACAATGGTCAAGTATCTTCGTAATCTCAAGTCCATAATACTTAGTCGACATCCACAGAAACTACGAGGACTCCAAGCTCGCTCGGTGACTGAGGTTAACAGTTCAGGGTATATGAGTACAACCCAACTTCTACTGTGAGTTTTCATCCAAGTCATACAGGCCTTGGTTACCGACCACCCTCCAAACTCGTCTTGATCTAGTAACTGAGTTTCCAAGCCCAAAATGTCTGGTGTTGAAATCAACGGAACTTATCTGTCCAATCCATATACACCAGCAGCTTTTCTACCTCCCGAACTCGCATATCAAGAGCAGATTTCAAAATATGTGCTCGTCGGCTCGGCCGGGGTCAGTTATTCCGTCAATAATCTAGGTGTTCGGTATTACTTATTCTGTATCTTTAGGCAATAGTTTGGGACATACTGTCGAACTTGATTGGTGACTACAAGCTTCTATTCAAACACAAAATTGGTATACCCACTGTGGTGTATTTCATTTCGAGGTAAAAGAAACACATTTAGGGACTCACCCGACATGCTGATTTCTATCTAGGATTGCAGCACTCTTTTATGTCTCAATATGTACGATTTTTGAAAGTTGGTATATGTTCTTTTTTGAACCTTGAGATGCTGATTATGCGTGATTAGCGGCTCCTCTTGGCAATTGCAGTGCATACCAAATAGTCAACAACGTTTCGCTATCGTTTGCTGCTCCAACCACTGCATTGCAATTCTTCCTTCGAGTTCGTGCCATCTTCACCGGGAACAAGTACATCATCTTCTTTTTTCTCTTCCTATGGCTAAGCGTTCTTGGGTGTTGCTTGTCAACCATAACGGGCATGCAGGGCGTCACAATTGGCCCAACGCAATACTGCACCAACCCTGAACCGAAGCTGTATATTGTCTCTCCAGCCATCGCTATGGTCGTTCACGATACCCTCGTCTTCCTCGCCATCTCATGGCATCTAAATTCACACTCTGATGCTGATCCTGGCACAAGAAACCGATGGAAGTCGTTCTTTTCTGGCCACTATCTGCCCCGTTTTACCAGAGCACTCTTGCGAGACGGTCAGGTTTATTACTTGTAAGCCCTTATCATGAATTGTTTTATAAGAATAGCCCAAATCAATTTTATGAGGAACAGGATTACTGTGATCTGTAATCTGGTGATCGTCATTGTGATTTTCATAACCTCAATCCCCGGGGCGTACCGAGCCATGCTTTCCGTCCCTAACGTGGTGTTGACGAACGCCATGGCATGTCGTGTATTCCGGAGCACCCGATCACTAGGTAGCGTTGGAGTCAGTCGGACGAGCGTGCAGCCCAATACCCTTCCTTTAGCATTTAGACAAACCACTGTGCGCAGCGGTGTAGGAGATTCAGTTGATAACTCGGAGCTTTTTGTGGTTGATACGGAGGAAATGACCAAATGAATTTATAGGGGAATCCCTAATGTGTTGAAAGCGGATGGATAACTGTGGGTCCACCTGTCGGAACAAAGTTCACAGTAAGCCTTCAAATTCCCTTCGATAGTATTGTCATTGCGTGCTTCCCTTGGAGCACACCTAGACGTGCCACGAATGTGCACCGAAGTCCACATTAGTACGGACTGGTCACGAGTCCGGGCCCAGAGGTCGCCTTCCCAGTGTAGCCGCCGGCGCAATAGCTACTAGTATATTCCCAATACTGAACTTTAATCTCAATACCCATATGGCAGTATTATCTCTTAGAAATGCCACGACGACGGTATTATGTATATACAGGTATGTATATGGTACTATTCGAGAGACTTATAAAGTAGCATGATTACTATGATGTTAATGGACTCGCCTTACCCATCCCGCTCAGATAGTACCATATACGTCAAGAATAGGTGGTAACCAACGGTTGAGCCAGTGGATCATCCTTGCCTACGATGATCGGCAACTACGAAGCGTGAGTGACGTACAGATGTTTTCTGGACTCACGGTGATGAAGTCTCTTCATTTTGTCGACTCCTTTCAACACCACATTCGTTTTGACTTGTAAACTAAATACCCTAACTCGTAATGTCTGGTATCATGGTCAACGGAACTTATCTACCAAATCCATATACACCAGCAGCCTTTCTGCCTCCAGAAATTGCAATTTCAGAGCAGATATCACAATATGTACTTGTTGGCTCAGCTGGTGTCAGTGGTTTCACCAACAATCTATCTTTACGGTCATGTTCATTCTATGCTTTTAGGCCATAATTTGGGACATACTGTCGAACTTGATTAGTGACTACAAGCTCCTATCTAGACATAGGATTGGTCTACCCACAATGGTGTATTTTCTCTCGAGGTAAAAGAAAACCTTTTTTTGGGAGAGTGGACATGCTGATTTTAGTCTAGGATTGCAACCCTCTTTTACGTCCTAATATGTACCATTTTTGAAAGTTGGTATATGTTTTTTTTCTACCTTGAGATGCTGATTATATCTGATTAGCTGCTCCTCTTGGCGACTGCAGTACATATCAATTAGTCAACGACATCTCGCTCGCCGTTGCTATTCCAAGCACTGCGTTACAATTCTTCCTTCGAATTCGTGCCATCTTCACCGGGAACAAGTATATCATCTTCTTTTTCTTCTTCCTGTGGCTAGGTGTCCTTGGATGTTGCATGTCATCCATAACGGGCATACAGGGTGTCACAATTGGTCTAACGCAATACTGCACCAACCCTGAACCGAAGCTGTATATTGTCTCCCCAACTATCGCCGTGGTCGTTCACGATACGCTCGTCTTCCTCGCCATCTCATGGCATTTAATGTCGCACTTTGATGCCGATCCTGGCACGAGAAGCTGGTGGAAGTCGTTCTTTTCCGGCCACTATCTCCCCCATTTTACCAGAATGCTCCTGCGGGATGGCCAGGTGTATTACTTGTAAGCCCTTATCATGAACTGCTTTATAGGAAAAGCCCAAATCAGGTTTATTCGGAACAGGATAACTGTGATCAGTAATTTGGTGGTCGTCATTGTGATTCTCATAACCTCAATCCCCGGGGCGTACCGAGCCATGCTTTCCGTCCCTAACATGGTGATAACAAACGCAATGGCCTGCCGTGTCTTCCGGAGCACCCGATTGCGAGGTGGTGCTGGTGCAAGTATGAGCGGACAGTCCGAATTCAATACTCTCCCTTTAGCATTTAGACAGAGCACTGTGCACAGCGATGTAGGACATTCAGCTGATAACTCGGAGTATTTGACGGTTAGTATAGAGGAAATGGCAAAATGAAAGTTTTTGTGGGAAGTCCATGGGCTCCATAGGCGTGGTGAAATTGGATAATAGGGTCTACCTGCAGGAACAAAGGTTACAGTCAGTCTCCTCATTGATAATGATTTCATCGCACGCTTCCAGTTAAGGAACACACTCAAGTCTGAACCCAGGAATATGGACCCAAGTCGACATTGGTGCAACATTCTTGACATTCGAAATTAATTGTGAATTGCTGCATTTACACTACACGTTTGGTTATGGCTCCACCGATATATTGATGGCTGCTTTTCTTATTAGAAATCGAGCAGACAATAGAATAACATGAACTCTCAACCAAAACACAGAGACCGGAAATCACACCTCCATCAGATCGCCAATATCCTATATAACGGACAGTACACTCACGAACTCTGGACTCAAGTCACTCATCACCTTGATCTTCGCTTGACCGTCCTCCGTATCCTGTTCGAATGGCATTGATGGAAAACAATAAGTAAGGGACAACGATTCTTAGCATGACAGCTGCCCGTGCGTCGCCCTACTTCTGGCAATGCGTCTTCCCTTGTCAGCATTATATCTTCATAACTATACATTTGCCACTGGCACCACCCATGTACAGTGTATTCCTGTCGGATCAATATTTCGCGTTTCTTTTCCCCAGCTAGAAAGAACTCTATCAATGTGCTAAACGCAGGAAAATCTCGGGTAGTATGTGTTTGTCGACATATAGTGCGCCGTGCACCTAATGTAACAGTGTGCTATTTGCTGGTAACCATCGATTGGCTGAGAACCAACTCCAGGCATGTATCGCAGACTTTTGTGAAGAGCGACATTACTGAAGCGCATTCATTTCACTCAATACAACCCTTGAGATTCGCCAGTAACACTTCGAGGAATGTCGACCTTCGCGAAGAACGATTACGAATGGCATTAATATTCATGATCACTGCAGTATCGACCTTGACTGGAAAGGTGAGGAGGAGATTGTAGTCCAGTTGAATGGATGATGGTGGTATGGGAAGAGCCTTTGAAAAGCCCCTCGGCGAAGCGGAACCAAGTGGATTGCCGAGCAGTGCTCTGTGATCAACCTGCCTGTGCATGATACTAGCGATCACAGGAGATGCCAGTGCGCCGTGCACCAGTCTCTCTGGTTCCCCCATGTCATTGCAACGATAGAGCTTTCTTTTAATTCCCTTTATTTTCTTCGTTATCCCTATTTTACGAGCCTGGAGCCCGAGGCTCGTCCTATAATTGGGCGCTGGAGGAGATGTGGATCGTCCCTTTTCGCCTGGTCGACAGAGTACCCTTCTTTATTGCTCTGCGTCTAATTTATTGTATTTTCTTTCTTGTTCTTTGCTCGTCGACGTCTCAGTATGCCAACGGATTTACTAATGCCAGGAGCATTATCACACCCCTGGGTTCTCCAATATCAACATTTGATGGGTTCTACTCGTCAAACGACTCGGATAACGATGCCTCGAGATTTGGACTGCATGGTGATGGAGTTGCTGACGTTCGTCGTGATTTCCCTGCAATCGGCATTGGTGTGTACTTTGCTACCTCATCCTCATCGCCATCGCGCATGTCTGAGTTTAGCTTACATTTATTCCCTAAGATCCGCTCGTAGGGTTGTCTCTGAACCCAACTCATCTAGTCAGTTCGGTTGGATTTACTACGACGATCGCATGCACGACACCACGACCTGTAACGACGTTTTCTGAATTATCTTCTTCGCCTTGGGATGTGCGGTCCTCAACAGCATTTTCTGAGACGGGTAGGTTACTCTGCATTCACATCAAAAACTGACTCTGACCATTATTTTTGTGATGGTGTAGTTGCTCCAATAGTTATCACTTCCATTACCCTTACCTTGAGTTCTCCTAGCTCGCATGTGCACATTACATCCCCGTCTACGATTTCTGAAAAAGGTAAGATATCTTATAACTTATTCACTTATCCCAGGTCTAATCTCACGGGTTGGTCACTTATTTATGGTTTAGCTACCACCGCTGTCTTCACGACTCCAATCTCACCGTCAAGCCTTCCCAGTTCTGTGCAAACCATGCCACAACGCACGGCAGCACCGAGTTCTACATTGACGTCGATCACTGCAGTGCCGTCGGTGCACAGCGTGGTTACGAGTATAATTACCAGCGCTAGAACAAGGACTCGATCCCATAAACCCGTAGGAACGTACTTACCACACTCGAGTGAGTCATTGGAGAGTAGTTCGTCGACGCTTTCAGGTTTCACTTCAAGTTTTGCAAGCCCGAGCGATTCTGTGTCTGGAACGACGAGCGTGAGCTCACAAACGTCGGCGATAGTGACATCTGTATCGTTTTCTCAAAGTCCTTCGTCGTCGTTTTTCAGTTCAGGTTCTTCGATCTTCTCGTCTGATACCTCGAGCACTACCTTGTCGTCTCCTTCCGATTCTGCATCCACGTCGTCCATGCCTACGAACACGTCTCCATCGCCATCCTCCACCGCCACACCTGCAACCACCGGCATGCCATCTTCTACCTCATCCATATCTACGAGCACGCCCACCTCTTCGTCATCTTCGTCATCAAATTCCTTAGCACCGATCACCACTTTGTTGATCAACCCTACCCCTTTTCCCTCGTCCTCTCCATCTACACCATCATCTACAACCTCATCACAACCTCAATCCAAACTCTCAGCCTCCCTCATCGCCGTCATTACCATGCTTTCCTTCCTCGGCCTCCTCTCCCTCGGTCTCGGTGCTTTCGTATATACGCGGACGCGACGTAAGAGAATAGCAGGTATTCAGCGCGCGAATGCGGCTGGGAGCAGGGAGAGCTTTGGGAGTAGGGATGTAGAAAGTAACGGCGGGGTGACTGACTCAGGAGGTGTTCCAGCGGGGACTGCGATCGACGCGCCGCCTGTGATGAGGATGGTACTTGATCCGCGACTATCTCTACCATCCATGTTCGCAGCTCGAAGTGGTGGCGGTGTGAGTACTGGGGGTAGTATTGCAGTGAGTGCGCGAAGTAGCGCGCCGCCGAGGCCGCGGAATCCTTACGAGGGGATTGTCCCGCCTGACACGCCGTTGATACCTGAGTTTATAGTAGACCCTATATATGTTAGTGCCATTTAACACCGGTGGTGTCGTATTTTTGGTGTTGTTTTACGCTGGAGGACGCTCAAGCAGGATAGGGATTTCGATCACATTTTACCATCCATGGACCGTATTTTGAATATGCATGACGCCGATCATTTGAACTGATCGTCCATTTGATTGGTACCAAAAGTGGCAGGCGCGGGCAAATTTTCAAGCTGTTCATTGGAAGCGCATACATAATCAATACGACTGCATGCCTCTTGTCAAATTAGGCAAAATATTTAAACAAAAAGGTTGAAAACGCACTGAGAGTGTTCATCACCCTCTCTACAATGATGGAGCACGAGGTGGCATTCCACTGCAATAAGGCGCTCTGCCGGGAAGACGATTTCTGAGTGTCTGCGAGTCTTTATTAAAGCTTCATTATCCATGGCAGTCAGACCTCTACAGTAATATCCATAAAGGGAAATAGCCCAGAATTACTATAAGCGTGGGAACTATATGTGTCTCTTCCCCCACACTCGCGTTGGTCGCTGGTCGTACTTGCACAGTCTAACCTTCTAAGAACAGCTGCAGTATGTCGGCCAGTTTACAAGGTATAAAAACCCAGCGCTCAACACTTATTTCCTTTTCCTGTTCAGTGACCCAAACATGAACGAACAAGAGGCAGAGCTGCAGAACCCGTTTCCTTCGCCGCCGTCAAACTATACGAACTATGCTACCAGCAGTATTGGACCACAGTCACTGGATCGCCAAGATAAACCAAGGGTAGATTTGATATTGCAAGAAGGCCACTACAATGTTTTCGGCGATACCTGGTTTGTGAGTATCATATTTAAACATCTTCAGTTGCCTCCAATGAACCGTTTTCAGGTAAAGGAAACTATTCCCACATTAGCGGAACTGGGTGGGCATCAGCTATACCCAGCTGACCCCGGGTTTGGTATATCTTCAGTACTTAGATCACGTATGTATTCTGATTTTTATCTTTTGAAGATCGACGTCCAGCCTTGCTAGCTATCCTACGCTCCTTCCTTGTTTCTTACTCCACACTCACCAGCTCTCTGCTTGTTCCGCCTGCCTCTCTTTCTTCCACTGCTCCTGCGGAATGGCAACAACATGTAGACTGGGTGACTATTCTTTCTCAGAATATACTGGCGGCAGCAAATGACCTCAGACCTGTGCAAGTGAGTGATGATAGACAATAAGAAGTGGTTCCACTGCCACAGTCAATACAGGCTAGAGGGCATCTAGAACATATAATGAAGCAGCAGTTAGATTTGAGAAGAGGAGAGACCAACGCCATTAACCTGTAGTTATCACCCTCGTGGATCTTGCAAGTACATATCACTGATTGCACTGTTACAGGAAATGTGATTCCCTGGAAACACAATTGACGTGTTTACGTGGTTCGGCGAAGGAAGTCCACACTGAATCTATCTTCAAGAATGCTGATTTGCCCACTACCCGACATGAACGGAGCGAGAATGCCCTGTACCCGGTATTTCCTGAGCGAATTCAGTTTGGCTCGAACTGACTTGCGCCCGGAACTTTGACAGGCACGCCTTCTCAACGTCACATTTGACAACATGTTACATTGGGCTGAAGAATTATAAAGTAAGTACTGTCGTCCGGGATCAGCTCGGATGCTAGGTGCAGGTTGTTGTCACCAATTATAGAGTTCAGTCACTGAAGCCAGTTTAGAGCACCGGTTGGCAGGCGAGATATATTGAAAGAAAAATGCTAAGTTTGTTGTGTAGTGGTTACATCAGTGTCTTCGTCAAATTTTGACAGAGCCATATAAAGGTCATATATAGTAAATATTGAGTATAAAGTTCACAATAATGATAGGCTGGTTTGCATGTCGGAAAAATTCATGTTCGATTGTCAGGTCGGATAAGGTCATAAGGAAATCATGGATCTAGTAATGTGCAAAAGACTGCACAGAAGGCTTATTGGACCTGAGATGAATAAAGCCTTTCCATGTCAGACGTGATCATAAATACCAGCATGATATGTAGTTTTTGTATCTGTAACAAAGTGATACTCAGTCTCTTGTACGAGGACTCAGGTATATTCAGCTATTACCTGTAACAAAGTGATACTAGGTAGTAGCTTTCAGTAAATATAAGAGTATGTATGTATGTATAAACTTACACTTACCTCAGTCTCTTGTACGAGGACTGAGGTATCCAGAAAGCTAGTCTCGAGCCAGCCGTTTTGGGAAGGCGCGGGATAAACCGCGCTGGAGCCACTTCCCAAACGTCTGGAGACATTTGATGGGCGACGAGTGCATCGTGTCACGCCGGGATTTTTTGCCTCTATCATTTGATTATCTTATCTTATCTGTCGGTCCTTGTACATACTTATGCAGTTTCTCCGAGTTGCATTTTGTGATCAATGCTGGATAACATGAGTGAAGACCAGACATCCGATGACTCCCTCAGCTTCTCAAATATCAATGAGGATACTGACTACAATCCTTTCATTGCTGATGGTTTGTTTGACCCAGATTATGATCCACTGGCAGATAGCAACAGCTCGGAGTTCCCTTCATACACATCATCCCCCATTCAACTTGCCAACACTCACCGTTTAAAGGAGAACCTAACAGGAAGTCCTGCAGCCAAAGTTCAAGCTATCCTGGACTACATGAATTCAGTAGGCCTTGACTTACCATTATTTTTGGATTTCCTTAGTTGGGGTGATCATGAGTCTATCATTGACACAAAAATTCGGTATGCAAGGACTTCGTTGATGGTTAGTGCTGAGCTTCCAGGGATTTTAAAGCGGTGGCACAAACCCCCACACACAAAAGAGACTCACAATTCCCGTGCTCATGGAGCACAACTGGTGCTCAAAGAATTTTCCTTGTCATGTGTTGCAGACATACTTGAGGCTGAGCTGGAATCCATCAAGGACATGTGCTATTGTCCCCCAGAGGATGTTTCAGAAGAAGGCCTGACAAGCCTTTACATTGAAGACATATTGTTGAAACTGCGTAGTCCTGGTTTTGGAGGCACCCCAAAATTCTGGGCCTTGCTTCAGCGACTCAACAAAACAGCTGCGCAAGAGAAATGAAACACTTTGAAGAATCCTGACTTGGTGCGTAGTACAATCATCCAAAGCTATTACTAACACTGAATTCCCAATCACCAGGTCAATATTTCTATTATATTTCAGATCATGTTCTCACGCTCTCATCATCACAGCCACTGGCCAAAAATGTTGACAACATTCTCTAAGTCTCAAGGCATCTCTGCAAAAAGCCTCGACCTCCTACGGACATTTTGCCTGACCATGAGCCATAAATGGTCTGTCCGGGCCATCAGTTTTATTTCTAAGAGCGAGATGAATGAACTCTGTAAAATAATCCACATCCATCCCTTTGTGATATCTCACGACAACCTTAATATTCTCTTCCGTGTCTTTTCACAGCAAGTTGACAACAAAAGCCATTTTGATTCGGGAACTGCAGCTACCATATTTTTACAACCAGGCACTCCTCCAATTAAACCACTCTGCAATTGTACACTACAGGAGTATCGAGCAGCTGGACGGAAGGTTCCACTCACAGTGCAAGGCATCCTACTCCTTGAACAGGCTGCAGCCTCTTCTCACCATTCCCGTGATCTCTACTATGTTCTTCAGTGGCTCATTACTTCACCGGAATTTTCTTTTGAAACATATCAACACTGTAATGATTCAGTGCTCAACCCACCTGCTCCTGTCCAAAGACTACCATCAGGCCAGCAATATATCACAAAGCAGTACATGCTGGGAACAGTACATATTGAAGAAGCCAACTACGAAGGCAATGAGATGCTTTTGGGCGAGTTCCCAGCTTTGGCTGGACTCTCTTGACAAACAAAAGAAGACTGGTCTTGAATGAGTAATCCCATGGGTTGGTGACCAGCTAACATTGGAGCGGCTATGAGGACTTTTTAGGTTCCGTGCTCAGGATCACAATTCCTTTGACCGTTTGGACTGGCTTGTACCCATCTTTGGGTGGTTTCATTTACAGATGGCATTTGCTAACTCACTGCACAAGCAGTACTTAGGGACTACAGCTGGACGGGGCCTTATGCACGCTTTCACTTTGCTTGAAAGAAAAGGACTGAGTTTTGTGCAAACCCGAGGGCCTTTCCATCAGAATCTGCACGATGCAATCACTCAAGTTGCTGAAGCACACTTTCGCGCATGTTGGACAGTTGTGGGTGAAGTAGAGACCCTGGCACATCTCCGTTGCAAATCCCCAGGCCAACTTGTGCATCTCGCAGAAGCAATTTTGAAGACACTTGCATCTAGTACTGCCTTAGAGGCCATTCACCTGCAAAGCAAAAACACACAGGACAAAGTCTTGCATCAGAGCATCCTGTGGAATTGTGATGTGTTGAGGTATATAGATTTAGAGAGGGCCATGGAATGCGGTGATGTGGGAATAATGGAGGAGACTCTGCCCCATCTTTTGTATTGTTTTGCGGGAGGTAATAACAAAAGGTATACTATTGAAGTGCTAGAGCTACTACAATGTCTGCAGCACGAATGGCTACCAGAACTAAAGTACAGTTCTCTCGCATTTTGTTGGAATTTACTAACTTGTACTTGACAGAGACTTTGTTCTTCACAGGTGCTGGTTGATGAACACAACCGGCCACCCCCTCGGATTTCTGCCTATAGACAAAGGGCAGGAATATAATATCAAGGATACAAAGGTTACATTTGGAACTCGTGGCCCAAATGCATCTTGGGCTCTTATGAAGAAAACTTCCCCAGCCATTCCCGCACTCAGAGCTGTGTGCAAGCATACAGAACTTCAAATTCGGACGCTTCGACGAGGCCTACACCACTCTGACCCACTCAAGGAGAAGGATATCAAGATCCTGCATAACGCATACATTGCCTCAAATATTCACACACAGCAGGATGGACGAGAGGTGAAGACTAAAGCAGATGGGACTATGGATGTAGTGACGAAAGGATCTCTCAACATACTCACAAAAGGGACATTGGCAAGATGGTGGAATAATAGAAGTTATGTTCAGGCAACACAGGAGATATGGTAGGGTAGTGACAAATGTACTATAACGAATGCCAAAATGTATTACCTGACCCACGGAGGATGGAGGAAGTCCATGAGTGTATCGTCTGTTGGTAGCATGGGAGGGTGAACAACTCGAGGCTTGAGGTAAGCAATACTGAGAGATGCCAGAATGTATTACCTGACCCACGGAGGATAAAGTGAGTCCTTAGTATATCATCTCAAGGGGAGCGGCACTCTCGAACAAGAGGATAAAAGATAAATGTATATAATCACTTGTTCTATATACAGTACTATAGTCCAAGGTATTGCACCTCCTGCTAGCCCTTGTAGGTCTCCGTATTGGGCTGAAAAGAACTGGCAAAAAATGAGGGAGTGAAAGGCGAAAACGATGGCACAGCAGTGGAGGATGAAGGTGTTAAGGTCCAGGTGGCATACAAAGTTTGAGTTGCATCTAGTGGGACTGAGGGTGTGTTGATATTTACTTGGAACCTTATAAGAAAGAGTATCAGTGGTATCAGCCGGTAAGTGAAGAAATAACTTACTCTGAGGTACCAGGCAGTGGTATATTTTCTTTACCACTTGCGCTGGAATTGCGGACTTGGTGTGAGCTTCGTTTCTGCACTTTCAGCTCCCTTCCTATAGCCTTCTTCTCCTCCTTCATGGCCTCCCTTGCAAGCTTCTTTGCTTGGTGTTTCTCGACTTTGGCCCCTTCACGAGACTCTCGCACTTTGTCGTCCAACTGCCTCACCAAGTCCAGAACCTCACCACCATATACATCAACTAATGGCCATGAGGCCCCGAGAGATCCGCGAAGATCATTGATCGTTTTCCACGAACGATTAGAGGCTATTGATTTTAGAGTGAGATCGGGGAGAAGGGCGAGGCCAGTAAATGAGCAGTGGGGATAGTCACGCTGGCGGATCGTCACACGCCAATGGTCCAGAGCATCCTTGATGGTTTGGAGATGTTGGCCTGTGCGTCGAGTGACTGGGGAATTCTGATCAGCGGTTTTCATCACACGCTTGCCCATTGCATTCTGTTCATGGGTAGGTGTGTCTTCCTGCTCCTCGTCGCTAGTTTTGGAGGATGTGTGAGCAGGACTGAGTAGAGGTAAAATAATGTTGGAGGGCACAAGGCCCGTCACAGTTCTGTTGCAGTTGTCACAGCAGACACCGGTAAGTGCTAGGTTCAAACATTAGAATCTCACGCTGCCACAGAAAATGTGCAACCTACGTGTACGGCTGGGTGGATTATTGTAAAATGCATCTGCAATATCACGCCAACAACCTGTGGTTTCAATCCAGGCTCAAAGAGGCTCTTCTATTTTCTTGTGGTACAGTGGATCTTTCTCTATTCCAATCTCATGGTCTGAGTCTTCAAGCGCATCTTCTGACTCTAAGTTCTCTTCTTCAGTTCTGCCTTTCTTTTTTTTACTAACGCATTGAAGCACTGACGCTTCAACCATCATTATAGCACGTCCTTGAAGACTGAAGTTGTGGACAGCTCGGCCTGCTCTTTGGAGCCATACTGACAGTGATGATGGGACTCCAAATTGGATCACCAACTCGACATCTGGTATGTCGAGTCCCTGTTTGATTATTAGACAAAGCAAGCTTATTAAATTGCTTCGAATGCTAACCATGCCACCTATTTTGGTCACAAACATGACCCTTATTTTTCCTTCACAAAAGTCACACAAGACAGTTTTCCTGGTGCGTGGCGAGCACCTGGCATTCAAATAACTGATTTGACTCTTTAGTTGGTCAGATACAATTCTGTGGAGTCTCCGAAAGCCAGCCTGGGACTGACTAACAGTGTTAACAAAGATGAGTGCCCGTGGTATTTCATTGGCAGCCTGTGCATCTTTGACAATGAAATCAAGAGCCGAATAGTCTGTGGAGCCAGCAATGATGCGAAGCTCCTGCGTTACATTAGGTTGGTCGTTTCCCAAGTTCAAATGAAAGGATTTTGATGCGCTAATGTGCAGTGTTTTTCGAACCTCGGCCAAGACGGCAGGGGACATTGTAGCTGACATTGCATATATAGGTGTGCCTAGAGGCACAAATGAACGGAGCCTATCCAATTTGGCATACACTGGCCAAAAAGTCACCTCCCCACTGTGAGATACAGTGGGCTTTGTCAACTATGTATCCAAGTACACGTTTCTGAAAAGCAGGTGAGCACAACAATGCATTGAATTGGGGGTTTTCAATTGTCAATTCTGGTGATGCTAACAATATTTGATATTTAAGGTCCTTGAGCTCCTACACATGCCGACAAGTTTAAAGCAACATAGAGACTCGAGAAATAGACTTACCTTGTGTAAGTCTTGATTATATGTGTCTCCATTTACTGCAACTGACTGTATGCCCCATGCACGAAACTGATCAGCTTGTTCCTCTTCTATAGTGTTCAACGGCGATATAATGACTGTCATGCCATCCTTCTGTATGAAGGATGGCATAACATAAGCCAAAGTCTTCCCAGATCCTGTGCCAGCAATAATGGTGCAGTCGAGTCCCAAAGTAAAGGCCTCAGCGGCGTCCACTTGCCATGAATAGGGGGTGCGGCCATTGCATTGTTGGCGGACAAAATTTCGAAGTGATTCTTGTAAGTCTGCTTCTTGGCCTGCCGCTTCAGCTTTCTGACGAGCCTCTATAAGGTTGGTATAGGATTTCTTTTTGATGGCTTCATGGGATAGATATTCTGTAGGGACAGTGACCATTTAATGAAGCATGGAGAGTGACGAATAATTGAATGATCATTGAATATGGGACTCGTCAATATTTTCTGATTTCTGTACTACTAAGCATAATTACATCATGATAATCTTAGTCTAAAAGTGGCAATCATTGCCTAAAAGAGTCGAGTGTCTGTGACACTGTGACTCGATGCACTCGTCCTAAGATGAAAGTCTCCAGACATTTTGGGAACCTCTCAGCGCGGCTTATCCGGCGCCTTCCCAAAATGTCTGGTTCAAGACTACCAGAAAGCGTGAATCAACAACTTCTATAGTAGTTAAATGTCCGATAACAAAAAATAGGAAATTGGCTCTCAGCCATCACTGGAAGTGGTGGCTGAGAGCTATAGTGTGTGAGGCTCAAACCTTATTAGCTTGGGAAGATATGCAACAACATAATACTCATTGCTTGACCAAATATTCACTATCCACACAATGCACTGCACTTTGAGGACTAAAAAAACTGAGGGATTATGGCGTGAAAATTCCAAATAATACCAGAATAATGTCAAAAAAACCTTGCATGATTATTACAGTTTTAATTCTAATAATACCAAAATAATAAGCAAATAACACCACGTGCAATGATGCAATAATACCATCGTTATTATTCTTTCCTTATTAAGTATGACCTCATAGATAGTACAGCAACGAAAGATTTGATTATAAGTTACTATATGTACAGTTAACTACGAGCATATAATCATTGCTTCCCCTCTTGTCTATGCATACCAGCACTGCAACAGAGTAAGACAACCTCACAACGCACACATGCCTCGAGGAAGACCGAAAAAAGTACCAGATATTGGCACCAGGACCACTTCATGAACAAGAAAGCAGGATGATGAGGTTGAAGACTTGGGCCAAAAAGGGACCTCCTTGAAGATTACAATTTGCAAGTGGAAGGCAATCAACCACAATCAAGATGACCAGGCCAAATGAGCCTGCACAGAAGCCTCTGAGATAGCACAAAAGGATCAGCAGGAAAACACAGGACGACACGGAGAGCTGTTCACACCATCATTCTCAGTTGCTGAGGCTGTTGCAAGGAAACCAAAACCTATTCCAGTATCAGTTAGAAGACAATCAAGTGCATTAGTTAAACCTGGCTTGGAATGCCAGCAAGAAAACCATGTACCGGTACCAATGATCAACCTGAGGGCCAATACAGATTCCAGCATTTGGGGCATATAAAGTAGTAAGTTATTAGACTATTACAGGAGGCCCCAAGTCTTTGTCAAGCTAAATAGATAAAGTCTGCTAGATCTGTTGTGATGTTAGTCAGAAGTAATTCTAACAGCTTGATATATATTTTCCTGATTATATCTCTCTGCAAAAACGCAGCAAAATTGCTGATAACAATGGCACTGATGTAAGATGCCTAAGTGATTGCGATGGATTACCACCCATATGTCTACATATGACCGGAGTGCACAAAAGTTGAACAAGAATGCAGTTGTCGCTTCATGTCTCATATTCTTGTGCCAGTGTGAAAGATGTTTAGAAACTACCTACAGCAATTCAGCAAAACTAGACGTTCATTTCTGAATACAATAATTATGTTTTAACTACCAATGTTGCACTAGCTTTATATAAGTCTTTATTTCTGCTACAGAGCATCAATAAGGTACATGGGTGAAACTAGAAAGATAAGTCATTGTCCTTGTCCTTGTCCTTGTCTTCATCTTCATCCTCTTCGTCACCTTTGTCACTGTTATATTTGTCGTCATTGTCATCATCACTGGTATCATTTGCGCTGCTGTCTTCATCTTCAGTGTAATCATCTTCATCGTTGTCATGCTCTTCTTCTCCTTCCTCCCTGTTATCATCATTTTTTCCAACTTGAATGTCCTCACCCTCACAGTCATCTTGGTGGTTCCTATCCTCACCACCAGTATTGTCAACTCTGTCCTCCCCATTGGAACCACTTGCGGTGATCTTGTTTGATGTCATCGTTCCATCTTGCTGGAAGATGGTTCACCTAATGTCCTATACTGCCGCCTACATGTCCCATAAACATGTCCCTGTTGACAAATCTGGAATGCAAATAGAATTAGATACCCTTAGACATAAGAGGTATTGAGCGCACATATTTACGTAGTAGCTTGCCCAGTCATCCTCTTCACCAGCATTGCGACCTGCAGACAATTCACGCCTAAGTAAATCTGTGGTATGCCCATCCACACAGGCAGGAATAAGATGGCATCCTCAGATCACCAAAGAAGGATCCAGGAAGCCAAAAGCAGGAGTTTCTGCATTTTCTGCCACAAACCCAATTTTAGGGAGTCGTGCAGCTTCCAAGCCAGCACAATATTCACAGTCTATTGTTACGATAACACAATTTTCGGACCTTCAAATTTCATTCTCCTCTTTAACCTTCTTCTGTAGTTTTCACACACTGTGCCATGCAGCACTTTCCTTTTGTTCAAACTCCACATTCTTGCGCTGCACTGCCTTTCTTTATATTTTTAGATACAAGTATCTCACGCAGTGGAGCTGGTCACACGGTGTCGATGATGAGAACTGCAGTTAGAAAACCACACACAAAAACAAACTAACACACAATCCTCCCAGATTCCACAGAACTTGTTTATGGGCTTTGCCTCCTAGAACAGTGGGTGCTCTGGTTGTTTGTGGGGTGGTATGTATGAGGATCCTTCAAAGTAAAACCCAGAAATGTATGAGTATGGGTTTTGAGGAGGAGGGATAGTTGAATTGATAGAAGATAGGGGCTTAGTGATGAGTATAGATGAGCACTACCTTGCTAATTGTAGCACAAGGTAGGTTTGAGAACGACGAGGATGATGAGGTGACAAGGTTCCCAGTGATAGCAGGCTCCTGACGCACAAACTGTAGTGCTCAGAAGGACTCTAATCGAAAGGGATAACAATGACTTCACAAGTGGGGAGTGATGATGACAGCAATTAACAGTGGTAGCAGTGGGAAGTGTTGTGACCACACTAGATCACAAGTAGCAGTAAGAAGTGGACTTAAGATTAGAGAAGAAGTCTGGAATTGAGTACTTGTTGTTTTTTTACAAGGTAAAATACAGGAGTTTATATAGTAAAAGAAAAGTAGGCTATGCACAGTATAGCTGTGCAAAAAGAATGAGAAAGAACATGAAGGAAGGAATGTACGCTGATGAATCCTGCGTAGGTAGTACAGGATAAGATTGTCAAAAAAGGAAAAGAAAGGGATAGAACAATGAATGCTGTGAGTAATGTCACAGGTTTGTACAGCCATAAAGTAAAGTCCAATAGCAAAAAGAGAGCAGGAAAATCATGATGTCATGGGAAGATGCAGTAAAAAAAGGCAAGGCAAAACACTATTGGTATCAACACAGTTCCTTTATTGTCAGTCAGGCATTCTAAAAAATATGTGTCCATAAAAATGATTCAAAAATCAAAAATAATCGCACTGTAAATGAATGTTCTGCTGAAAAAAAAGAAACTGGAGCCACCAGTCCATCACCTTGTCCAAATCCGACAGTTCCATGGCCTTACCAATGGACTGGTTGTGTTGGACCACCTGATCAAACGAGGGAGGGAGAGGAGTAGTTCTAATTTGGAACAAGTGAGTCCCAGGCAGCGTGTGGTAGGTGTAGCTGTAGCGAAGACGATGGTCAAAAGATAAGTGTACCCAAGTGAATGGGACAGCGATGAACATGGGTGACACAAGGGGATGAACCTTCTCCAGCTCAAAAACTACCCACCCACGCTCCAACCAGGCAAGACGAGCGACTGATGTTTTGATAGTATATGATGGCAGATTGACGTCATGAAGATGGACCTGTTGCCCTATTTGGACCGGCCGCCGGGGCTTTGCTGATATCAGCAGTGGCATGTGGTAGTCAACGGATTGGCGACGGAAGCGGATAGGAAGTGGTGACATCAGAAATGGTGGGGGTGCAAATAAGATGAGGAGGAGGAGGGTGGAGGTGACGAAAAAGTGGATTAGAATGGGGATCCAGAAACGACCATCAGGTGAGAATAAAAAGGAGAGGAAGGGGTCCATGGTGGGGCTAGGCAAAGGAAGGGGAGTAAGGGAAACAACAAAAGCAAGGGCGCAATGCAATGTGTAGCCAGTGGCGACGCGAGAATTTGCCGAAATGCCGAAATGCCGAAAGTACCAGATGGAAAAGCAAAGGTGAGCGTGACTGGATTGCCTAATAGAGGTGGTGCTGATCAGCCACAAGTTCAAAAAGGGCAATATTAATTACTATTACACGTGGCACTGTGCCTGTGTGGCGCAAAGGCGAGTCTTTTTGAATATTCGCTTCATTATTGACACCTGTCCATGCTACCAATCAACTTTGGTGCATGACAACGGGCTGCGCCCTCTGACATCATCAGCCACTGTTTTCATCAACTGTATAGTACATAAGTACAAACACGCTGTAGTAGTATAAAAACCCCAATAGATCCAGGAGACTCCTCAGCGAGTCCTCCTGTTGTTTACCCACAACTAACTTGGTCCTATCTTAAGGGGTAACCACTCCCCCTCATTAATTGTTTTGCTTGTCTGAGTTGTGCGCCAGAGTAACTAACTCTTGGTTGTTACATCTATACCATACCAGCGGACCCAAAGGAGTTCCATATTTTGAATAAACAGATGTTTTGTGTGAGGGTCGGTATGAATTACATCAATGGAAAAGGTGGCAAGTATGCGAGCATGCCAGTACGGGTTGGCAAATTATGATATTTGTTTATAGTATGAGAAAACATGCATTGGCCAGGGCTTGAACCTGGGACTCCAGCTTTCATGGTCTGGTGCTTTACCAACTAAGCTACCAAGGCATACTTGGAAAGCATACTGATTGGTTGCATGCCCAGAAGGTCCAGAATCACTGTACACGGGTGTGGATCCCATTGTGTTGTGATAGCCTCTTTCACCTGTGATAGAGTGATGACGGATTATACAATAGTAATGGCACTAAAATGAATTACATCTCATAACTATTCCAGGGCTCATAACCTAATAAAACT